AAACAGTGCTTGATCTGTGCATATTTCTCTCCTGATTCGGACAAGATGACTTTTTCACTGGAGAATGTAATATTATGGATAGAAGACTCATATTTTAGACTCATTTTTTAGCCAGGAGCAACGGTTTGAAGTTAAAAACATCTTGATGAATTTGTTTATTATAAAGACGCTGCTTTTCCCTTCACAAGATGTTAATTGTGGATTATTGTAATGTTTTTATCAGCTATTTGGACTCTCATTCTGACGGCACCCATTCACTGCAGAGGATCAAGTGATGAGCAAGTGATGTAATGCTAAATTTCTCCAAATCTGTTTTGATGAAGAAACAAACTCATCCACATCTTGGATGGACTAAGTAAATTTTCATTTTTGGGTAAACTATTCCTTTAATAATAAACGTAAACGTAAAACACCTCACAACTGTAGTAAAATAATACAGTAATACAGTCTCTCGTGGCTTATATAGAGAAACACCATTTACAAAAATAATTTAGTACGTTTTAGAGACTATCAAGGGAATTTATGTTTAGTATTTCCCAGCGGTCTGCTGTAGAAATCACATAACTCAAACAACACAAACAGTTCTCACTTGTCCTCGAACAGCTGTCAAAAATCTAATTCAGTTTTCCTGCACATGGTTTTAATATTGGCGCTTGAAAGGGTCAGAGAGGGACTGAGGGGAGCCAATAAACAAAAATTCTCAAAATGATGTAAATAAGGGCAACAAAACACATATCTGAGAGAAAGCAGGTAGCCCTGCCTCCAACAAAACCATTCATCATGACACAGTTTAATCCAGCACTTTGCCAGCTTCAACAAAAGAAGTTCACACATCACCAGAGGATTCTGTCAAAGTTTTGGTTTACCAACCTATACTTTCAACATCACTTAAAGTAGTTTGAAATGTTTTGAATTTACTCACGGTATGAAGAGCTATTGTGTTGGTGTTTATTCTAGCAAACTCCAAAAAAACTGTTAAAGCCACTGGGATGAAGATACTCACAAACCATGTAATTGTTCTTTTCCTCTGGGGATTGGACTATTTTTAAGGTGTTATAGTCGGTGGGCTCATGGAGCGTTTGAGTGATCAGGGGACCATAAACTAGCTCACACAGCTTGATATGCTGAGATTGACCAGCATCATCAATGTCTTGCCAGATCAAGTGTAAACCGAGAAAGCCCCATGAGGTTGAAAGGAAACAGGATTCAGTGGATGTCTTTTGACTCGAGTCAGAGTGTGTCCGTCAGTTCATTATATTGACCAGATATTGTAAAACCCATAATTTGATATATAGAAATTATATTGAGAATGTATGTTTTTATTTAAAATAAACATTTATTTATTGTTTTGCAAACCGACTCACCAAGATATGCTTGACACCAAGGCTGCATTTGTTTAATAATACTAATAATAAAAAAAAAACAGTATAAACAGTAATAATGTGAAATATTACAATATAAAATATCTGTTTTCTGTATTAATATATTTTAACGTGTAATTTATTTCTGTTATGGCAAAGTTGAATTTTCAGCAGTCATTAATCCAGTCTTCAGTGTCACATAATCTTTCAGAAATCATTTTAATATGCTGATTTGCTGCTCAAGAAACATTTATTATTGTTATCAATGTTGAAAACAGTTGTGCTGCATAATATTATTTGTGGAAATAGTGATTATTAATTAATAAATGCATTTATTCTTTGATGAATAGAAAGTTCAAAATAGCAGCATTTATTTGAAATAGAAATCATTTGTACCATCATAAATGCATTCACTGTCACTTTTGACCCATTTAATCCTTCCTTACTGAATAAAAATATGAATTTCTTTCAATATATATCTTAATGACTCCAAACTTTTGAACAGTGGTGTATTTATCATCATTTATTACAAAATTATATTATAATATTCAAAACAAGACAAAAGTTATATTTATTCATAATCAATATTATCAGCTTTACTTTGATAATTACCGAAATGTACAAATAAGCATTCTGAATCACCTTAAACATACGAAATGCTCCCGTTTCCACTCATTTCACCCAGGTCTGCATGCAGTGTGTTATCACTCTGTCTGGTATGAACCACCGTACCGCTACTGCGCTCACATGAGTGAATATTGATTTGGTCTTCTGTTCTTTCCCTCTGGTGCACGTCACATCCACTCACCGCCTCACTGAGTGATGTGGTCGACGGCATTCAACTACCTGAGATACAGATGCCCAAATCAACAGATCTTTAATCATTTCTCCAATGGACCACACGCATCTGAACACACTGACTACAAACCACTCTCAGACAATAAACACGGCCTCCAGAAGATAAAACAGTCCAATATTAGCTATAAAAATAGACATTTAATGCAAGAATTTATAAGAGAACTGAGGTTAGAAATTATCGAAGCACTTCACATGCACTTCAGCCTGGCCTTTGCTCAACCGACAAGTGATAGATGTCGTCGTTTAATCAGGAGGACTGCTTTATACCTGTTCACAGTCCCATGACTCACCATTCTGACGTAATTTCTGGAAGGAAGTCCACACAGATCACCAAGATAAAAGTCTTGAATCACAGGTGTAATTTTCTGTGCTGAAGGGGACACAAACCCCACATTATACAAAAGAACACTCTTGAAAAATCGACATGCGTCACCTATATGCTACATGCTGGCAACTTCCTTTTGCCGCAACAATGCTTCGATAATTTCAATTTGCTGCACAAACTGTTTTGTGGAGAACGGACTCCAGAGTTGTGACATGACAGATAACAGATCATTCTCTCAAAGACAGACGTAGTGCACACAGCTGTTATTGTGGCGGTATGAGATGACGGCAATCAAACCGAGAGAAGACCTGTCATTTTCGACAGCTGAGGGTGCTCTTACCTTGCCCTTTGGCTGATTGATGTCATCACAGATGATGATAATGAATGCCAACTAAAAAAACTAGTAGTATCTATTAGTATTGGCTCCAGCCATCTCTTTTGAATTTTTGCTTTTTTTTTTTTTTTTGTATTGGAAGAATATAAATATTCTTTGGAAGAATATAAAATGTAATTTTCCCATTTCCTTTATCAACACTTTTCTCTGCAAGAATTTTTTTTTATTATTATTATTTAAAATTATCCAATTATTTTAAGGTCGAAAACTTTCAAATGTCAGCCCTAGTATTAAAATACGCTTAAAAAGTCCCAGACAAAAGGATTACAATTATTTGAATAAAAATTATTGTAAAGTAGAAAAATTTCAAATGTCAGCCCTAGTACTAAAATAAGCCTTTAAAAATCCCAAAGAAAAAAAAAATTTTCCTGCATGAAAAAAAAGATAGAACTATTAAATTATTTTGTCTGCCTTGGTATTAATATTAATATAACTAATATTAATTATACTAATATTAAAATAAGCCTTAAAAACAGACAACAAATGGTAATTTTCCCTACAAATATATATATATACACACAATTATTTTTAATTATTAGATCATTTTAAAGTTGACAACTTTCAAGTGTCAGCTCTAATATTAAAATAAGCTTTTTAAAAATTCCATGAAGATTCCAAAATTTTCCCTGCAAGAAAAAAATTGCCGGTGTATTACAACAAAGTCACACTGAAAATCTTTTAAGTTCAAAGAGACTTCTGAAATCACTGTTCCAGTCTCCTCTGCCAATTATAAGAGTAAAATAGAAAGAGAATACCCTTGGGAAACAATACACCAACCTACAGATTGTTAAAAAAAAATCTTAAATGAAGATTTCTGTCATTTCTCGGCAGGTCTTTCAAACATGTTGCTTTTTCGGCGTTTGACGTAAGCATTGCCCCACAACTTGAGGACAAGAGGCTTTGTTGGATTTAACTCTAAATTTAAGACTGTCACCGCCAATCAGAACGAAATTTGTTGACAAGCAGAAATAGATACAGCTCTGTAGCATGATAAACCAGACTGACAGTTTACCCAAGAAAGCCTAATTCATCTCTCCTAAGCCTCTTCTACTCAAAAGAATGTTTATTTCTTTATTTATTTCCACATTCAGCAGTAGAACTATTTGGATCCAAAGCTGCGGTGTGGTGGCGCAAAATCAGAGATAAACTGCTATGCTGATGTTTGCCTGGCCAGCTTTGGGAGGTGGCATTATCACCCACTGCAGTGGCACACATATCACAAACACACTTCAACCTTCAGAAAGCAAAGCTTGTTATCTGTCGAACATTCATGCCGCTTTTGAGTATAGAACAGAAACCTCAATTTACACGCTGGTTCTAAAGATATTTGTTTGGACACGACATAAGGGTTCTTGAAATCTTTGGTTTAAAACATCATAGGAAGGTTGGTGAGACAAGAGTTCCAATTTGTGGAGAAGTACACCTTTTAAATGAAAGGAACTGCCTTTGATCTTAAAAATAAGCCAAACACTTTCATCTATGGGATGTGACTGAAATCCAGAACTTTTATTTACCCGTTTGTGTCACCCATTTCTGTAACTCAGCTAAATGTTATGAAACTACCAATCTGCTTTAGATTGTGGGCTCTTTTGAGAGAGCTGAGAATTAGAAAAGTGACTTGATTCTAGATCAGAGGTTTTTGAACATTTTGATGCCTAGGACCCCCAAAAAAGATGAGTTCACTGCAAGGAACCCCCTTCTTAAAATATAATAAATGCAGCCTTGCTATAAGCATAAAAGCATTCAAAAACAAAACAAAAAGTATAGATAGATAGATAGATAGATGGATGGATAGATTTTTATTATAATTAATAAACTAATGTGGTTAATCTTGTGACAATTTTATTATTATTTTATTTATTCATTTACCTTTTTACATTATTTTCTCTGAACCTTTCCCCATTTTTACATGATTTTCTCTGAATCTTTCCACATCCAAACTTTGAAATTTTCATTTCTGATTGCATCAAGGAACAGCACAGAGATGTTGCAGCAGTATCTTGAAGTATGCATTTTGTCCAAATTTCTAAAAAAAAAACACAAAAAAAAACACAAATGCTCATTATCCTGTCCTGGAGGCAAATGCTCCATTTCTGTCAATTATGCATGAAAGAGGATTCCACTGCTAACTGGAATCCACATTCCTCTGTGTGATCTATTTTGCTATTGTAATAATGAAAACTTCAATATTGTGCCTTCTCAGCAAGAGTTAAAGATACAGCATGGATCAATTTAACAGTTTTATTATGGATTCTGAACCTAAAGCAATATTGACCTGTCCATGGTCAAAATGAAATCAAAGAGTCCATATTGGAGCACATTGTGGTGAGGGATTCAACCCCCCAGCAACAATGATCTTTGTCAGTATACAGTATTGCCTCCAATGCTTTGAGAATAAAAAATAACAAAACATGTCTATTTTCTGAGCAATTTCATTGCCTTCGTGTTACAGTGTCCCTGCAATTTCTGCTATCAGACTGACAGAAAAAAAGCCATTCCTAGCGAACAATGTCAGGACTGTGGTTTAATGAGACGCTGATTCATCTATGGATTCTTGGCAGTGCAACCGAATTTATAAGAGATAGCTTTGTAGGGGCTTAAAGACTATCTGTTTATACTGAGATATCTGTAGACACATGATGTCCTGCCTGCTTTGAAAGTCTCAGGTCTGGATAGAATTAGCAAATAATAATAATAATAATAATGAAGACTCGCATTATCTGCACTTTGATAATGAGATGAAGTTTATTAAACCTCCAAAATATTGTTTGCAGCAAGGCATACGTTACACCACCCCATTTTTGTTGTGTATATCTATGTATCATCACATATGCATTAATAGGTGTGCAGTCAGTCTGTTGACAGAGTGATCTCTCCAGCTGCTGTAAAGGCAGAGACAGCATCTGCTTAAATCTTAATCAAACAGCACCATCTCACTGGATTTAAGTTGGTATCAAAGGCTTATTTCAAATGCAGGTGCTTCGCTGGACAGAGGGTAATTATCCCCATTATTCAAATGACACAAAGGCGGCCCTTTCATATTTCATAGCCTTTTTGTTTTGTTGCCATCCCTAACGCAAGTGTGCACTTTTCTTCCAGCGCCCACACAAAGGGCTTGATTCTGTTTTCCTTCTCCATGCTCCCGTTTTTTCCTGTTTTGCAAACCGATTCACAGCAATCAGGGTCCCTGGCGATTAATTAGGCTGTCTGCTCAAAGCAAGGTGTGTCCGTCACAGCAGGTCAGCGTCACCTACTTCTGCAGCGTCCATATCATACCATACATACACAATCATAAACAACCACACTGATCTCCAGTTTCAAATGCATGGCAGAAAAAGAGCAATAGATGGCTAGACAGCTACCCTGATGGATGGATGGATAGATAGATTCTTGTCGAATCTGATATTTAGGCAGTGTTGGGGAGTAACTAGTAAATTAGTTAATTACGTAATTTAATTACAAAATAAACATAACTGTAATCTGGTACAGTTACTAAGAAAAAATGTGTAATTAAATTACAGTTACTTATGAAAATGTTAAAGATTACAAAGGGGGTTACATCTGAATATTTTCACACACATACAGATTTGATTTATTTCTTTCCCAAATTGCATCGACTGCTCTAAAATATGAGACACCAATGTTTAAGGAGTTCAGAATAGGACACGTGCTTATCCAATAACTGTTTTATTTCCTGTTTGGGTTTATGTATATGCTTTTATTTTATTTTTTTCCCCAAAGCATTGTTAGATGCCAGTGTTACTTGTCATGGCTATGCAAATATTTTGATTTCAAAAAGCTAGTATTAAACTATATCTTATGATCATAAATCTGTATTTAACCGCAGAATGATCTCAAAGTAAACATAGCTGCTAAAGTCTGATTTTGTGGTGGCTGTGCTTTAAATTAAATAATTATTATCTTAATTCAAGTGAAGAAGGATTTTGAAAGTCTGATACTAACTAGTGTTGAGTCCTACTGTAAAGTTAACCGTGACTGCTTTAAATGTTTGAAAATTAAAATAACATTTGAAAACATTTGTTAAAAATTTAGAAAAGCAATCAAAAAATATTTAAATGTAATCAGTTACATTACTTTAATAAAGTAATTGAAATAGTTACACTACTATTACATTTTAAATAGGGTAACTTGTAATCTGTAACCTATTACATTTCCAAAGTAACCTTCCCAACACTGTATTTAGGCTACTTAGTTTGTTTATATTAATGTATCATATTGGTAGAAACGTTTCTTTCTTTCTTTTTTCTTTTACTTGTATGTTTTTGTGTAATTTTCTTTATTTAATCTGAGCATAGGTCACATGACCATATCCAGCAACACACCTAACATATTTAAATGACCACTCAAATTACATTGACATTTTAATTTGTGTTTTTTTAGTTTTTCAGCATAGTTTTTTTTTTTCCTTTTTGTGCTGTTGTTTTATTATAGATCAGTGTGTACACCACATAGGCTACATGGTACAAAGTCAGGGGCGTCGCTAGGGCTAAACATTCGGGGCTCGAGCCCCGAATGATTTTAATCTAGCCCCGAATGTTTTGTCCTTACATCCCAGGAATTTTGCCAAGGATTTCAGAGGAAATGTGAGAAAATGAGAAATGAAGTAAATGTTGATCGTTTAGTTGGCCACTGTCGCTGTTTACAGTAAGCGATTTTGACTGACATCTCTCTCCACTCACTCACTCACTCACTCACTCGCTCATTCACCACGTGACTTACTCCTAGACTATTTTACAGCCCTTGAGCGAGACAGCAATTTAAAAAAAAAAACGGTCAGAAAACAACGGTCAGTGTAGCACAGAGTGGACGACAGATCAAGGCAATGGCGACTCAAAAAAAGAATCAAACGACTATTCTTTCTTTTTGGCAGAACACGAAGAAAGGTACCTTTTAGCTTTTTCAAACTATCCATACAAAACACACACTCACAGGCATATTCAAATAATAATATATTCTACAAACATAAACTCGTATATTGAAAAACATCTCAAATTAAATTTTACCCTCTGGTCCTGTTCACGTATGGGTCACAATTACACTGTTAGCTGGTCAAACCAGACCAAAACCGAAGTGGAATAAAGCAGCGGTTTTCAAAGTGTGGTGGCGCAAGAGCATAAGAGGGGAGACGTGCAGTCTGCGTGATAAAAAAAAGAGAAACATTTATGAATTAATGGTATAAATTAATTATTTCCCTATGTCATTGTAGTGACAGCGAGGAGGATTACTTGTCTGTGAAAAGACAGAAATCACAGTCTGAGCGCAAATATGCACATACTGTATGCTTCTGAACCCATTCGGTGGTCGGCCCATACAACGACTGGATGGTGCAATCCGAGATTTGTGCTTGCTCTCTCTCCCCATACAAACACGATACGATGAAACGATACAACCTCTGCCGCACAATGTACTGTCTGTGTCTTGCGGATATATTGCGTTCCTATCTCGATCGCTATGACCGTAACCATAAACCCACCAGCTAACATATAACACAATTCAGAAATAAAAATGCTATTTTTTTATTATTAAAATTATTATACTTAACATTAATGAATGACTGGCATACTTTTTTACATTATAATTGGTAATTTCTGGTTTATATGACAAATAGTGAATAATTTAGAAGAATTTTTATTAGATTAGAATTTTTTATCTTTTAGAGGGACAGTTTAATATGACTAACGTTAAATACCTACCATAATATCAGTCCATATGACAATGCTCTGCTTAAAAGACTTGGAATGTACTGCAGAGTGTGGACTGTTTTTATGGTGCCTTTCTATTGGTCCTTAGATGTACATGGCACTGTTTCACACACAAGCTGTAAAAGAGAACATTGTGTGGAGTAGGCTACCTGTGTGAGAGAGAAAAAGTAATGAATTCAATGAGCACCTTTTTAGTAACAAGACTGTGAAATGATGGGAGGAGTCAGAAAAATGATGGGACTGAATGAAATTGTATAAAGTTGCATATTATTTTTGTTAATTTGTGTTTATTGTTAAACTATTACATAAAAAGGTTCTTGCAAAACACTTTTTCTTGCTTACCCCTCCCCCCTAATTAGCCCCTGATGTTTTGGCCTCAGCCCCAGATGTTTTCAAATATCTAGAAACACCCCTCGTACAAAGCTATTGAGAATACAGTTAAAAAAATACTGTAAAACAACTAAATCTACAGAAACATACTGTTCACAGCAAGAAACTGTCGAGAAAACAATACTGTAGATAGGTAGTTATAGATAGATAGATAGATAGATAGATATGCATATATACACAAAAAGTATTTTAGTAGAAAACAAAGTATTTCAAGCCACAATTCAAAGACATCTTACAAAACAATGGGGAATAAATGTATAAGATCTGATACTTATTAGCATCAAATGACTCTGTATGTGATAACTGAGTGTGGGAAGAGAAGGCTCAGTGCCAATTTCTGTCTTGCTTATCAGTGTTACTATGTGTGAGATTGCCACTGACATTCACAGCTGGTCTGCTTCAATTCTGTGACGGGAAATAATGCGTGTGTGTGTGTGTGTAGGCTACCTCACAGGTTGGAATCATCATATCATATGATATGATTCCATCCGTCATATGAATCTCACCTGAGCACTCAGAATTAGCGCAACGCTTGTCAACACACCACACGGGCCGTGTCGGGAGAAATGAGCGATGCAATGATGCGCAGTCGATATTTTAGTTGTCTACAGAGAGAATTCTTTATCACTTTGTCTACGATTTGGCAAACCATATTGGAGAGACAACTTGGCGTTCGAGAAAAGGTGAAGCTTTGAAGGCAGCGCCCCCTGTTGGATAAGATTATTTAATACATGTGGAAAGAATGAATGAATGAATGAATGGGGTCCTGTAGATGCTCCTCAGAAATGTGTTATGCATGATGCGCAATTGTCAGATGATATCTGATGTTTTTGACTTTCATTTCTTTTAAGTGGCTTTACAGTGACGTCAGTCACGACGCCTGGGGCACGTTCAAGGTCAAACCGGTGCGCAACATTTTGCTACGGTATCGGGGTTGAACAACATGTTTCCTGGAAACGGGGGTTTGAGATACGTTTTCTCTTGTTTGGTGGGTGTGTCAAACATGTCAGCCCAATCAGCAGCAACATGTA